TATGTGGAGGGTGAAGTTCTAAACAGGAGACCCAGCTGTGGTTCTCAATACTTTGCGGAGCCTCAGGAGAGCTGCTGAACTGCTCAGGAGAGCAGTTATATAGGTATAACTGAACTCAGACCCACACTTGGACCCCATGCTGGACCAGGCCCAGGACCTGGACTCAAGCCCTAAGCCAAGCACAAACCCGGATTTTAACTGTAACCACAACTAGGGGCTAAAAGGCGCACACCTGAAGGAAGAAGTTCAAAACACCAGCCTTCCAGTGCTTTCCCCAGACAGCTCATGCTTTCTGCCAACTCTAAACCCCATCAGAGTGACAAGACACCAGTGAGGACCTTCATTTTTAGAACCCTCTCCCTAAAAGGGCCCTACTATGACAGGCGCATCCATGGCTGAAATATCCCTTCCTTAATGCAGATTTTCAAACATCCAGATTGAGCAGAATTTTTCTTGCCAGCTCTGTGTTTCTGCCTGCTCTAAACACTTTTGACCATGGTGGCCCTATAGAAAACATTTGGATTAACACAAATGGAAAAGGAGATTAAAGATAATACTGGCATTGGAAGGTACTACCAGACATTCAACAAAAGAGATAATTTAGATTTGTTTTTCCAAAAGCAAATTGCAGAAATGCCAGGAAAGCACATAGTTGTACTAATAGGAGACTCTAATCCCTCTGATAGCTGTTTGGGGACAAACTGCCTGAAACATGATCTTTTTGAAAATTTTCTGACTTGTCTTGCTACAATTTTCTCCTTCAGGGGAAAGGATGGAGCAAGGAATGACAGGAGCAACCATCCTTTACTGGTTAGAGTTGATAGATGGAAGAAGTGTGGTAGACATAATATATCTTGATTTTAGTAATGCATCTGACAAAGTTCCTTATGGTATCCTGCTCAGCAAGCTAGTGAGGTGTGGCTGGATGACAATACCGCTAGGTGCCTTGCTGTGGCAGTGGAGTGGATCAGAGCTAACTGAAGCTCAGACAAGACCAAGATGCTATTACTGGGTGGTTCCTCACACTGCATGAAGGGCCTGTTGTAGATGGCGATTTGCTCCCCTTGGTGCAGATTCATAGCTTGGGGTTGCTTCTTGAGCCTTTTTGTCAGTTGAGACTCAGGTGGCCTCCGTGGCACAGAGTGCCTTCTACTGGCTTCAGCTGGTGGCCCAGCTGTATCTCTATGTAGATGGGGATAGGCTGGCTTCAGTAATCTTTGCTGCAGTAATCTAAGCTAGATGGATGCAATGCATCCTATGTGGGACAGGTCTTAAAGAGATTTCAGAAGCTGCAGCATGTGCAAAATGAGGCAGCCAGCTTAATAACTGGGACCTCCAAGTCAGAACATATGATACCAATTCAGGCCTGCTGGCATTGGTTGTCTATATGCTTCTGAGCATGATTCATGGTGCTGGTTTTAATCTAGAAAGCTCTATAGACTTGGGACCTTGATACTTGATTCAACACCTTTCCCAGTTGTAATCTACATGTGTACCATGATCTGCATTTGAGATCTTCTGAATGCCACCTCCAAGGAAGACTCAGAGGGCAGCAACAAGGGGAAGGATTTCTTGATGGTGGCCCACTGACTATTGAATGATTTCTCCACCAAGGCTTACCTGTTGCCAATGTTATCAACCTTTCAGCAGCAGGTAAGGACAGCCTTCTCTGCTAAGGTTGCCTAAAGTTACCTAATGGTTCATGGGGTTACCCAGGTCTCATTTTTTCACAAGTCTACTCTATGTTAAGCACTGTTTTAATTGTCCATTGTTTAAATAATTGTATACTTTTAAAATTTTGTATTTTACAAAATGTTATGAATTTTTATTTTTTATATCAAAGTCCTCTTTAAGATCTGCCATAAACCACTCAGAGAGCTTTGGCTGTTGGGCGGTATAGAAGTTTACACACACACACACACACTGCCACCTGGAGAAGCATATTTAAAGAATGCTCATCAATGATTCCTCATCAAATTGGATAGAAATATCAACTAGGGTGCTGTAAGGCTTCTTGCTAGGATCTGTACTCTTCAACATTAGCATTAATGACTTGTAGGCATGTTTATTAAATCTGCAGAGGATACAACATTGGGTAGGATAAAACAGAAACAAAATTCAAAATGATCCTGCCATATTTTTTAGTAGGAGGAACCCAAGGCCCACCCATTCAAATAGTAGCTTGAGGCTAAATGGTAGTACATCTCTGTTAGTACAGACTGGGCAATTTATTCCTGCTTAACTGATAGGGTTTCCTGAGCATGATAGAGAGTACAAAGCAGCCTCAGTAGTAGACCATGCCCCCGTTGTAGTTTTATTCCTCATTGTTCAACTATTGGGAGATGGAATCCCTTGCTTATCTACTAGAAATCTTTCAGAGAGCTATCGGTAAATCAGACTTTCCTAGCCTAGTACTTCCCAGTTGTGTTGGACTACAGCTCCCATAATCTCTCAGCCAGCCTTGTAACTCATGAAGGTAAGTGGTGCTATCTCAGAAACCTAGAAATCCTCCCTCCCCTCCCCTCCCCCTCCCTCCCTCCCCTCCCTTCCTTTGTCTGTCTGTCTGTCTGTATTTCTCTCTCTCTTTTAAAGTCCTCATATCTCATTGTAGCTGGGGAAGAACCGAAAATGTGCTTGTAGTGCAATCTGCAAGAACATTAATGTGGTCCAGTAGTTAATACACGTCATGACAGTCTGTCTAGCTGTTGGGGACATATGGGGCTGATGTTATCAGTCAACAGCAATTTAAATCCTTTTCCCATTCTGTCAAAAGTGAAGAGATGAACAGTGTCTTAACAGTCGACATATCCCACTGCCAAGTATAATTTACTTTTCACAAGACAATCCATAAATCTCTAAAAGCCACAAATCCTACACTGATTGCAGCCTGAGCTGCTTTCTCTGCAATGCACATTACAAATTATAAACGGTACACTTTTAATGCAGTCATTCAAGTTCTGGTGGATGCACACAAAGACTGTAATAACTTAGCATTACATGTGCAGGGAAAAACCCCTTTCAGGCCAAGCTGCCTTCTTTGATTATTCAGGAACATCTGGGAGTTGCAGGCAAGACGCTATTCTGTCAAAGTATTGAAAGGGTTCAGCACACTGTATTTAGGAGAATTAGATTTCTCCAAATTAAGTTGTGGGATGTTCAGAAAGTAAAACCAGTGCTCTTTGGTTACATAGAATTATGCTTATAGGGGAGTCTGAACAGGAAATAGGCAATTAATAACTTGATCCTTATGAATTTTTACTCCAGTCCTTGCAAGTGAATACATAAAGATTGCAGTTGTGTACTAAACTCTGGTGCAATCATGATTAAATTCTGTTCCCAATAAGTCAGTGGAAAAATAGTGCTAATGATGTCTGAGAAGTCAAACTGAAGTCTGGATTGGACTGTTAGCTTGCTGTGAGTGTAGGCCTACCCCATCTGCAGGGACCCACCCACACAAGAATATTTTGCCATAAGAGGAGAAAGAAAAGTGTGACATCTTGGCAATGCATTGTGCTCTGCCAGTAGGCTCTTGAACATTTAAAGACACAAGTTGCTGACAGCTTAGCTACATGACCAAGTTTCATTATCATCTATGAAATGGTGATACAATTGTCTAAGAATGCTGTATTATTATCCAGACAACTTCCCACTGGATGGTGGAAAATACAGGGAAAGAGGAAATTTAAAACTCCTGCTGGCTAGATCTTGACAGCAAATGCCTAAATAGTAATGTAACTTATAGCTGCAATTTGGCAATACATTGGAACCGTTTCCTTCTTTTGTAGGGAACAGCATCCCTTCTCTGCTATTTCAGGTTTCAGAGTGGCTAGGAAAACAGCAGAGAAGGAAAGGAGGGGAAGAAGAAACTGCTGTGCTGACTTTCTTTCACAAGGGGTCACTCAACCACCCACACACAAGCACATGCTGTCTCTGTGAGCAGAACCTCCAAACTTCTCCATCACTGTTATCATTCATGGGTTGTAATCTGCTCCAGTGATGTTTTTACATCATTCATGTACTTATAGTATTATTTTAAAAATCACCACATACATGCCAAACCAGCCTTCAAAAACAGGCTTTTGCATGGTCAGTATATAAGTCTGACCTGCTAATATCGTGGGATTTGGTGATGAGGAAATGATGTAGATATCAATAAAGGTGAGAAAAAGGATCCCTGGATGAAAAGCGGCTTGTGGGGGAAACCCTCTGCACAGCAAGGATTCTTGGGGCAAGAGGGCCCTTGGTAAGGGGTGGGGTTCCCCTTCCATCCATTTTCAGCAGGGTCCCCTTTTTCCCAGTGGTGCAATATCAGTGGTGAAATATTACTTCATATGCTTCCACATCCCATGGAAAATAATGGTTGTGGGGCAGGGCGGGGGGAAGGGAGCAAGAAAAGTGAGACTCCAGAAAGGATTTCCCTGACATTTAATCACCCAATTTGTGGTGCCACCCAGAACACTTTTCAAATCTCCAGATTTCCTGTGGGTCCAAAATGTTTTCTACTCTGCTGCAATGTTTCCCATTTCCCAGTTATGAGTCCAACCCAAAATGTATGTTTGACACATACATTATAAGTATCAAAATATACATAGGTTTAGGTCTTCAGCCCTAATATATAGTTCCTTATAAGTATGTATCACTGTGTTCAGTTCACCTCCATGTAAGAATGAGTAGGACTGCAGCTGCACAAATAATGCTGGCCAGATCGTGCTCTATGAGATAGTTGAGTTACGTTCTCTGGAGTATGGATCTAGAGAAAGAACGTAAGCTAGAAGGACAGGCTCCAGTGGTACAGCAAATGAAACCAGATCAAAATGTACGACTTAGCGAAAAAGAAAAACGTAAAACACATTTAGACACAATTTAACTTATGGAAAATCCATAGTACCTCACTGTGGCAATAGTGACCTAGAAATTGCTGTTGCATATGATGGTCATTATGCTCTTTCCAAACAATGCCTCATTACCTCACCCCAACTAGCCCCCAAAGGCACACTTACTACTGTTGCTGGGAAGTGTCCGACTTCCACTGATGCTGCTGGCTGGGGGTGGAGAGAGAGACCGAACAGAGACTGTGTCCTCATCTTGGGAGCAGCCAGCTTGGATGGCTCGGAGGTAGCTGTGGCTCCGGGAGCGAAAATAGCTGGGAAGAGGCAGATCCAGGACTTCCACAGCTGCTGATTCTGCTTCACTGTAGGCTGATTCACACATCCCTTCATACTGGTCATTCAGCTCTTCTTCTCTTGCCTGCAAGAACAAAGCTGGTCAATTTCCTATTGAAAATAGTCCTCTTGCATTTATATCAAGGCCTGCCCTTTGGTTTCAATACATTGACTGTGTTTGTAAATTAATTAATTTATAAGCAAGGAGGTGAAACATAGTAGCCAAGGCCTTTTCTCCTAAATAATTGATTGGCTTTTGGTACAAACCAGTATTTTCCTTGCTTTGCAGTGGGGGCTGCAGAAAACCTGTGACCCAGAAAGCTGCAGCCCATGCACCTTGCATAACAATAGTCTTGCTTTTGTATTACCAAGAAGGCAGCAGCAAACTCAGCAGCAAACCTGGCAGGTCACCATTTATTCCTGTGGGGTTGTATTCAACTTGATGGGTCACAAGCTGAGCAGGGATGCTGTGACTAGCATCCTCCTGCTATAAAGCGATTTGAGATCCTCAAAGGTTGGGTCCATGGAATTTTCATGAATGACAACATTGCAGTGCCTGGGAAAGCTCATCAATAAAGAAATTTAGAGTAAACTAATCATCCGTGTAATGCTCTAATCTCTTACATTTCCATTTACAATCCCAGATCTGATCCTCTAAACCTGCTCATGTTTGTAACCCTATATCAGGGCTGTTGAATATCTTGCAGCTCAAGAGCTGAATTTCAGAAAAGCTCTGCTTGTGTGTGTGGGGGGGGGGGGGGGAGGAGAGGGGTTGTTTTGCTACAAAAGCCAGGAAAACCATCTAGTGATGTCCAGAGAACCAAAATGGGATTCCAGCTGCAGCAGATCTGTCTGTCTGTCTGTCTGTCGCTATATACTGTTTTCTCAGCAAAAATGCTCTCAGATTTAGTTCACTGGCCTGAGCTTCTGCAGCCATGCCCCATATCAAATCCTAAATATTTCTTCTTAATTATACTATGTGGCACACTGAGCAAGGTCTAATTTTTTTTATCTCTCCCTCCCTAGGATTTGTTCTATAGTTAGTCCATTTGGATGTGATCCTGTCTTGCATTAGTGAGAAATAACTAGACAAGTCTGGTGTTTGTTGCCAAAGTCTGATACCAATACATAAGAGATGGACAGTAATAGTAATTAATAGTAGTAATGGTAATAGTAGTAATGAAAGCGAACCAATTTATAGTAAGTAATATTTAAACTAGCACAATACAAGGCTCCTTTAAAAAAAAAAAACCTTCCTCAGTCTATAGGCAGTCTTTCCTGGCTTTCTGACCTTGGCATGTGGCTGAGACAGCCTTTAGAATGGTTTCCCTTCTCTCCATCAATTCCAGTCTACTGATTTTGAGCCAGACCAAGCCCCACCAAAGAAATAGGTTGCTTGGGCTTCACTGCGACACTGAAAGGTGACAGAAAATGTCCAAGACTACCATTTTGCATTGGAATAAGAACAGGGACTGTCCTGTGTCACTGCTGCATCACTCCACTTGCCCCGTTGCTTTCCCCTCTTCTCAGTCAGCAGCGAAGCATGAGGATCCCCCCAGCGGGAGCAAGACGTCCAGCTAGACGTCCAAGACTGCAAAGTGTATGGAAGGGGACCTGGCTCAGAGGAAGAGCACCAGCTATGCATGCAGGTCCCAGGTTCAGTCCTGAGAAAGACCCTGCCCTGAGACCTGGACACCCATTGCCAGGCAGTACAGACAACCATGAACAGCCTGGCTCAGTGGCCTGACTCTGCCTGTGCAGCTTCATATGTGTGCATGAGGGGCAGTAGAAGATTGTCAGATGGACAGTACCTGCTCTTCTTGTGTAAATATCTGTGGAGTAAATGAGGGTTGTCCAAATATCTGGAAGAAAGAGTTGGAGAAGATTAAAGCACTCGGGGTGGGGATCACGCTGCTAGTACAGAAGCACCCCACAGAAGGCACAGAGCGACAGAGGGGCACGTTTAATGGGTTTTGTCCATGGCATCTACGCTAAAGAGCAGAGCAACAGCTACTTGTTGGACAGCTGACTATGCACGATCAGACAAAATGCCACATAACCAAAATGAATAATACTCAAGACCTTGGGTACAGCTAACATCTTGACAAAACTAATTCCAAAACCTGTTGTTGTAAACTTCCCTCCCTTTCTGTTGATGTAAAACTTTAGAAGCACAGTTCTTTTATTGAAATTAACTGGTTACAGCACAGTAGCAATCAAAATAACATCTCGGAGAAGTGGAAGAAGCCTCTGCTCATGTAAAGAGTTTGGCATTTCCCCTCATTCTCTCCCTTTTGGCAAAGCTTCTGGCTCCACCCTCAGGGTGGTTCCAGCTGCTTGTAGGCACGCCAGCCACTTTGAATTGCAGATGACAGACGGTGGGTGTTTCTGTCCTCTCCCCCTGCAGCTCTGAACTGTCCTGCCCCCTTTCCCAGGCAGACTGGCTCTCACACTCTGAGAAACTTTACCAGGTAACCTTGAAACTTCCAAGTCCACCACTTCCTCCGCAGAATCAGATGTATCTGACTGAGCAGACTGTAATGTCCAAGACATAGGGTCCCTCTGCATTGGCCAGATATTTTGGTTTCAGCTCCACGACCAGTGGCCCATTAAAACCTCTAGAAGGCAACAGGTTGAGGAAGGCTGTTCTACAGTTCTATCTTCTCTCAGAGTTTCTATTCTAGAAGGCTGTTTTATTCAAGTAAGAACTCAGCCTGAGTACAATTCCCACACTTAGAATGGATGTGTGTGCATCGCAGTCTTCTTGTCATTAGTATGCTAGTTCTCATCAAGTCACCTTGTGATTAGTATTCTTAATCTTTCTTGCCAGGATAGCTAGAGTACAGGTATTATTTGTACTGAATGTTTTGTCAGCTTCTATCTCCGTCAGATTTAGTCAAGGAAATAATACATCTGAGCTTGCTACAGGCAAAAATCTACCAGAATTTCAATTAGGATAAATACACCTTTAATGCTCAACAGGACTTTCTAGACTAGGTTGTCAACAGGTCAACACAGTGGCTGTTGCCAACACATCATATCTTGTCCCTTCCTTTATTTTAATTTCACCCATGCAGACCTACACAGAATTTCCCTGTATATCTAGTGAAGCAGGATCTAATGAAATACTTTGGATCAGAATTCAGCGTTATGCTTACAGTCTGGGCTATGTATATTTACACAGAAGAAAGTTCAGCTGAATTCAGTATGACTTTTTTCCTAATCAGTTAGCACAGAATTGGAGTCTCAGGTGGGTTACAGTTAACAGGTGTGTTCAGCAGAAACGTTTGCCCTTTCAAAATTTGAGAACTGCAAGGTTGGAGACACTTAATGCCCTTTTTGTCATATAAATGATAAATTAGATTGACTGCTGAGTCTCCTTTACTTTTGGTTTCCCTCAGACTGGAGGAAACCGGAGATAGCCCATTTACTTATCTTTTTGAGACAGGGCTTTCTTTCCCTTGAACTTAATAAACGTACAAAATCTCCACCCAACTGCTCCACCTAGTTCACTAAGGATTTTCCCCACAGCAACCATCATTAAGTGTTAACAGACAAAAGGGATCTTCCCATAAATGCCTCCTGGCAACACATATGCTCAATGTTTGTGTAGTTATATGGTATAGTTCCATCTACTGCTGGAACTGCAAACTACCACTTCACTCTCCTTACAATGTTCATTGGACTTCATCAGAAAAGCTCTGAACGTGTTGGTTTTAAAGTCATGTATTCACTGGTAATTCCATCCAGCTTCTGCGTTTTCCTAAAGCAATATAGTTTTCTATATTTCTATAGTTTCTATAGAAATATAGAAACTATATTTTCTATAGTTTCTTTGAACAGCCTTCCTCAACTAGGCACTCTTTGGGTATGTTACATTATAACACATGCATGCTGGGGATGATGGGAACCCTTTTAACCATCATTTTAACAATTAAGAGTTTTAGACATTTTAAGATTTTTTTTGTTTTCACTGTCACATTTCCTATTTTCTTTTTTAGTTCATAATGTTCAATTTTAGATGTTTTAATAATTGTGGTTTTATTACTGTTTTTTGGAATTTTATTATGTAAGCTGTTCTGAGTGCTTGTGAGGAAGGATGGGTACAAACGCTTGTAATAAATAAATAAAACAAACTGCAGCCCAACAGACTTTGAAAGTATCAAGTTGGGGGCAACCACCCCAGAGCATCATGATACAATAGGCATTCTAATGATTTTATTTATCTTACAGACAGAGATGTTATCAGTAAACATAGACACGGCAAAAATGCTGCTAACATGGGCATGACCAGCCAGTGCAGCAAGTGATTGGTTGATAGCACATGATGAGGATGAAGACATTAAGATCTTCAGAGCCAGCAGTAGGTTGGAATGGGCCCTTGGCATGAGTCCACCAACAATATTGTAGCTCTGGAGTTGTATGCTTGCCCTCAGATGTTATTATTGCCCCCCCCCCCCCGTGTGTGTGTGTGTGTAGTAGTAGATATTAGCCCTTGTGGGCTCTCCCAGAGGAGGTCTACTCAGACAGTTGTGCAAGAATGCTGGAGCTTGCTTTGTGCAAGCTCTCAATCTTTAGCCTGGGAAAATAAGTAGCAGCAATGCACACAACTCTGCACAACTTTTTATGCTATCAACTGACAGTTTCCTGGCTCATACCTAACAGGAATACAGCAGGACCTCCATATCCATGTGGATCAGTTCCAAGCCCTCCAGCAGATGCCTGAAACCATGGATAATACCAAGCGCTATACAATACATTATGCAATAGTGGGTGGCGGCGGCAGGCATAAACTCAGACTATATACTCAAGAGAAACTCAAGTAACTATATACGTTTCTTTCCCCCATATTTCTTTCCCGATTAGCAAACTAGTTAAAAGTGGGCTACATGGAACAATGATCAGGTGAACACACAGTTGGCCACAGAATCAGACTGAAAGAGTGATCATTAATGACACCCTCTCATACGGGGGAGAGGTAGCAAACGGGGTACCACAGGGTTTAGTCCTTGGCCCAGTGCTCTTCAACATTTTTATCAATTATTTAGATAAGGAAGTGGAGGGAACGATTGTTCTATGATCTTTTCAGTGGAAAAACTGCAATATCAGCCCACTCATACTGTAAAATTGTTTCCAAATGCTTGCATGGGAGATAAAATAGTCCACAAATGAAAGGTGATCTATGCATATGGTTGTGTATATATGGTAGGATTTTCCCATGGGGCAATGGAAGGCCCAGTTCAGCAATGCAGAATGCTCTTATGTCAATGCAGTAAACTTAGCCCTGAAGTTGGTGATAAATCAGTTCAAGCTGGTTTTGATTAACTTGGTCAGTTTTTTGATGAAAGGCACAACAGATCAGCATATAGACTGAACACACTGCAAGACACAATATTGAGTCTAAGGGTTGTATATACCTTTCTCTTGTGTACAATTCTGCTTTAGTTTTGTATTGAAATCTGATGCTGCTTAATTGTATTTTGTATTCTATTTTATTGTTCCACATAAATTATTGTACACTGCCCAGAGAGCCTTTGGGTGGCATAGAAATGAATGATGATAAAGAAAGTGTAGCCTGAATGCAGTTGGAAAAGAATGGATAGGTGCTGGATACTCATTACACATTCTAAAATTAGTATTTGTCATTCTCAAACAATGTAAGTATCTGCTTATTTAAAATGACCAAGCTTGACTCTTCTATTTTGAAGATGCTCATTGCCTATTAAATGTATCTATTTTTTATGTCTAGAAAATCTGGATTTTATCATTTGGAATTCTTAGTAATGGCTCCCCCTCACCCTCTGCTTTTTTGACAAGCTGGTGGGTGTTCATTAGTACAATAATGAGATTCAGTAGAATGTCACTTCTTTATAAGAAAACCTGCCCGCCTCATTTTTCCTAATAAATAGTATATAACTCACAGTTTTAACAAAGGGAGAAGCAGCAATTTGAGGTCCTGACTCAGTGATGTATCAATGTTATTTAAAATCATTATATGGCCTAGGACGATCTTTCAATAATAATGGTAAATTTAGAATGAACAAACAAAAACATTCTTAAACATGTGAATGCAGAGCTGGCAGGTTTGAGGGGACTCTTGGCAAAGGCCTTCTGGTGTTCTCCCTTCTGTTCTTTGTCTCTCTTCTATTGGTTGACCCTGCAGGCCTACGTGGGGGTGGAAGAGGCAGGAGCTGCCATTTTGATTTCCCAAAATGCCTGGTGGGAAATTAAAATAGCAGCTTTCATAGCCCACTGTCCCGGGGGACAAGTCTCCATACTGGTGACACTGCTATGCCACTGGAACCCTAGCAGCTGCCCATGGGCACTGGGTGCTGATGCAACTCAGCCCTGTCATTAGACCAAGGCAACCATTTCAGGCAGCAGATGCTGCAGGTAGGCAGAGAGAGCTCCCAGGCTGTTCTTTTGAGCATCCCAGTCATCTCCTTCTGCTGGAGGACACAGCTGTGTGCTTAGCCTCTCCTGCATCCCCTAAACCATCCTGCTGCCCTCAGGTGCAGGTTGGCAGCTGTCCAATCCAACAAGTCAGTACATCAGTTTCTGAATGTGGGATGATGTGGGTGGTGGCAGTACCATCTTATCCTTTACCTCAGACAGCAAAATTGTGTGGGCTGGCCTTAGATGCTCAGCCTAAGTGAATGCTGGATTCTGGAATCTAGTAGAACGGATTAGGCCATCTGTGGGAGAGTGCTCATTAATCTTTGGGTCTGGGTGAAGCCTCAGTTGAGATCCCTTAAGGAATGGCAATCATGGGACCATGGCTTGCTTTGAGGAGCAAGCCATTGACAAGACTTCTCACAACCTGAACCACAGAAGCATAATGTAGCGATTCATTTTAAAGGACCAAATAAAGTGATTCATGGGTGAAATGAGGTTGATGTGCTTGATCTGTATGATCCAGGATACTGACAAAAATGGCTTCTCTCTGGACAAACATGACACAGCCTCTTTCCTGAGGATCTCAAAAAGCTTCAAGAGGCATTTTTACAGAAAGCACAAAAAAGTCAAGTCAAGAACAGACAAATGGAGGTTATAGGAAAACAACACACAGTGGAAAAATTGCCCCCCTATTTGAATCTTACCAGAAGACCTTATCTTGCTGTCCATCATCCACTACATCCCAAGCAGAGCCAAGTAAGTACTGATCTACCAGTTCCATGCATTAATAACTATTGCCCTGTGAATGTGTTTATTTAGCATGTGATGATAAAGCAGAAGGTGACATTTTTCAAGGAGGATTTCAAAGTTGTCACAGATCTTGTGAAAGTTCTGAACCAACTGAGAGAGAGCCAGTCACCACCACCTGGCTTAATCTGCTTTGCAAATTCTGCTTTTATTTTTCCCTCTTTTTTTGAGTAGTCATGTTTTCAACACATATTTGTGCATTGTAATCACCACATCACAATCTCTGACCAATGTCAACGACTATTTGAGAACAACTACAGGACAGTACTGCCTTCCCCAAGCTGAAGCCTTCGAAAAGTTTTATACTACAATTCCCATCATCCTCAGCTGGCATAACCAATTGGAGTTACACTCCCTATAACTCTGAAGGACATCCGCCTGGAGAAGGATGGCATAGCACAGGGTGTGTAACATGGCCCTCCAATGTTTTTGCTTCCAACTCTTGACATCCCTTACCATTGGCTATGCTTGCTAAGGTTGATGAGAGCTGTAGGCCAAAACAGCTGTAGTGTCACAAATCATCCATTGCTGGGATAGAAGAATAACTGCTATAACCATTATTCTTTCTAACTCTGCATCAGATGGTTCAGGGGCAACGTTAACAGTTACAGCAAGCTGGAAGGAACATTAACGATGCTGACAACATGTCATGGTAGACCCCTTTGAGGGCCTAGACAAAGAGTCTCTGAAGAAAAGGGGCAGATAAGTAGCTAAAAATCATAGCTACATGAATTGATGTAGCAAAACTTCTTATAGTTGCAAGATCAGTCCATGCATTGGAAAAATGTGGGGTTACAATAGTGTATTCTTCACACAGTCAGCATTTGCTGGTTCAAATATGCATATTTGTCAGTTGATTAAAGCAGCATGATGAGTAGACTTTATTTATTCATTAGTTGGACTAATATATGTAAATGAATTATTTTAAACAAGACTGGAGATACAACTTCCATATTGCTTCAAATACACACAGAAGTCTAGGTCAGTTTGAATATTTGTCTGCACATCATCAGGTTATAAATTTGCAGACATGAACTAGCATGCTGGATGTTTGGAGGGCTACCCATGCAGAAAGGTGGCAGGAAGTCTTGGTCAATATCTTTCAGAATGACTAATGCTTAGGAATTAGGAAATCTCTGTTTGCGATATTTGCAACTGTGACATTTTTGGAGGACATGTGCTCAAAAAGGTGACCAAGCTTTCCCCCATTTGGTGCTGTCCAGATGTGTTAAATTACAAATCTCAGCATCTAGAAGACTGGTTGGTGGATGCCGAGAGTGGCAGTCCAACACACCTGGAAGGTACCGGGTTGGGGAAGTCTGGAACAGTTTCATAAACTATGCATGGTGTGGAACAAGAGGGTACAGGGCAATTTTTCAGAGCGATTTTTCTCCCTTTACTGCCAACCAAATTCAAGGTTACCCAATGAAACTGATTGACTGTAGATATGGGATAGACAAATGATAGCTCTTCTTCATGTGACACAAACTTGATTCATGGAATTTGCTGCCCCTATTTGGCCTGATGTCTACTGACTTAGACTGTTTTAAAATGAGATGAGACAAATTCCTGAAGGCAAGTGTATCCATGGCTATTAGCAACATTCGCAATTTAAGCCCTAGTCATGGAGTTTCTGAAGGCCGCTGGTTGCCCATTATTGAGACACTAGATGCTGGACTAGATGAACTTTGTTCTAAGCCAGTGGTGTTCTTATTATCATCCAATATACTAGACACCTCCTTCCTGGTGCCCTCCAGGTGTGTAAGGTTACAAACTCCCACCAATCCTAAGAGGACGGGGGACCCAAAAGGAGCTCAGCAAGGACTGCCTAAGCCCAACAGACACAGAACATTCAGTATTTATGGGGAGGGGGAATGAAGGGGAATGGAATGGGATATCTTGGAAAAAGGTCTGACTGCATGGTTGACTCCTTGAACAGCAACACTCAACAGCGCAACACTTTTTTGCAGGTTCTACTTGTGTTCCTAAGATTCCCATTGTTTTCATGTTGTGCTTCATAACAGTAGATGATTACACTGAATGCAGTGACAATTACTACAAAAACTTATTTTGTGCAGTATTTTAGGAACAGTGTGCAGAGAAACAGGAGCACTGTGGGATGTTTTTTTAAAAAGCTCAGCAACATAAAAACCATTTATTGCCTTTGTTCCTGACAAATAACCTGCAGTTCACTATATCCAAGTGCTGTAATGATGGGTTGCATCCAGGTGATGTGACTTACAAGGCTAGTGGTGGTTCATGAGAGTATCTAAGATGCATAAAAAGATGAATATTAATAGGCACTAGCTATATGCATTGGAAGTTAATGCCCTTTCACAGATCTCTCCATAGTAATTTCTTGCAGCATTTTCACAGATAATGCACAGAAGACCTTTGAGTCTTTCTTGGCTATCTTTGCTCAAGTAAGTACCTTATTAGTGCATGGCAGGAAACTGAAGAGATCCACACTCTAAGCAAGGTAGCTTTCACATGTGGATTTCAAATGTTGGAGAACACAAAAGCCAATTTTTGTTCTGTGAAACAAAATAAAAATAGACTTTCCCAACCAAGTCCTCCCAGGAGTTCGATCCACTTTTATGCTGGATTGACTGTGCTGGCAGAAGGGGACTTCTATGACCCTCCCTCTCACACCAGATCCTCCAGGCCCCTGAAGGTGCTACATAGAGGCAGGAGACCCTGCTGAATGGGGTGGACTGTGGTTACAGGGGGATCCCCAAATATTGGACAGAGGGAACTTTTTTGAGGAGTGACTTTCCTCTCATGGAAGATCCGTTCCTCCTGAGGAAGACAGATCCTGGATCCAACTGCAGATATTCTGGACTACGATTCCCGTTAACCCCAGCAATTGAGGCCAATGTTCAGTCACCATGAGAATGGTAGTACAAACCATTTGGAGGGCTCCGGGTTGGGTGGGGCTCTTTTTAAGAAGCTCTCTTTAGTTTTGGAGGGAATAGTCCAACCCTCCAGGCACATACCCACTCCCACCACATGAAGCTAGGGCTGTGGGCAGCTGTTGCTGGCTCTCACCTCATTGATGCAACTGGACTCATTCAGGTTGTCTGTGATCTGGTTATATTCTTCCTCCCAGCTTGGGAATTTTGGAGGCAGAAGGATTTCGACAGAATCAAGGCGGTCCAGACTCCTGTAGGATGAGGAGAGAGAGTATGAGGTGAACATCGCATCACAAGAAGAGAGAAATAACCAGTACTCAGGTGTCCTGGTGAGTGGAGTTTACAACAGACTGTCTATAGAGGCTGGTCCCACTCCTCCTATAAAAGAGCGCTCAGCGTTTGAGGAGGCAGGCTCCAACTTTGAGGAAGAGGAGAGGTCAGAGTTCACAGCCGAAATGCCCAGGTCTGTGGTCCCAGAGGTAAATCAGGCAGTCACTCAGACAGCTTTAAATTGCAAGGAAAGTTTGATGAGCATGCTAATATTGGCCAGGGCGACTTATTTTATATTGTTAATTTGTTTTATAGTTTGAATGTATTATATTTTAATTTTATGTTGTGAGCCACCCCGAGGCTTCGGCGAATGGGGCGGCATAGAAATGTTATAAATAAATAAATAAATAAATAAATAAATAAATAAATAAGGAGGGGGCAGGCCTAACCTGACTAATCTGAGGATATGGCATCAGGTTAAGAGGGCAGACCAGTTGAGGAGCATCAGATGCTTCAAGGGATTGGCCGGTAGCAGGAAGCTCCAGCTCTGTTTGGTTTGGCAGGGAGGAGAGGCATTCATTTCGGAATCAACTGCATGCCATGAAGCCACATTTCCCTAATGGCCAGTATTCAAACTTTGCTTGCTTCTTTTGCTATGAACTTCTGCAGTACTCTTTGTCTTGTACTACAAATCCAGCCTAACCAGTCAGCTTTAAGACAATGCCTTTTTCCTGGCCTGCTTGGAAGGGAGCAGGGAAGAATGGCCACAAAACTGTCCTCTGGTTGAAGGCAGGCTCCATTTGAAGGGTTGTCAAGTCTGAGTCCAGTTTAAACTTTGTTGTTGTTAGTCGTGAAGTCGTGTCCGACCCATCGTGACCCCATGGACAACATTCCAGCTTTCCTGTCCTCCACCATCCCCCGAAGTCCACTCAAGCTCACAAGTTTCAACTTAATGAACCATAAGAAAGAAGAACAGGGCCCAGCTACAGACAGCACCTTGACAGCAGACTAAACAGATATCACCTGGTGGTCACTGTTTTCCACACTAATGCTGAGATGTACTGTGCTTCTATTCAAATTATTATAATCATTTCTAAATGTGCACCTATACATATGTGTTAGCTAGTGTTAGCTTTGGTAAATTATATGCAAAGCTGCTTCCTCTTTTTTTGATGGTTCACAATCAATCACCTGAGCAGATTCACCTTGTCTTCACTTATGTCCCCAAAGTCTTGTCCTCCTCCTCTGTGCCCAATCTGTACCAGCGCTCTCTCTCTCTCTGCGCGCACACACAAGTGCATGTGAGGAAGAGGAAGAGAGCAAAGGAAGCTGCTCAACCTCCTCAATTCTGTCATTGCACTCCTTACTTTTTGCTTTTTTGGAGAAGCAAGAAGCAGCAGTACAACCAGGGGCTCTGGCCATTGCCAGTGTCCCCTCTGGAAGGATGTGGGCCTAGGCAAGTGCTCTGCAGTGCTTACCCCAAACACTGGCCGTGATACAGACCCTTCAATCCTATACAACTAATATGTAAAGCAAAACATCTCAAACCTGCCCCAGTGTAAATCATCTACTGGTTTTAGAACAGATGTAGAGCAGAAGCAAATAGAGCTTTAAAAGATTAATCAATAAAACTCAGCTATGAAAGCGTTTTGTGGAGAAAGGGGGCCTAAAATGCATAAAATAAAAATAAACCTGCCTTGGCTTATCTTGAACTGATTGCATGGCCATTCCCCTGGAAATTTAAGAAAAAAAATGCTTTCACTCTCATCAGAACATCTCAATTATAGCAGTTTCACCCTGCCTTGGGTCTTGTGTTCCTTTTATTTGCCATTACTATCATTTCATGGACCATTGGACTCATGTCCTACTTGTGGCTTCCCCACAGGCACCTGGTCGGCCACAGTGTGGACAGAATGCTGGATGAGGGGGTCTCTGATCTGCTCTGGCAGGGCTCTTCTCTTGCTCTTATTCAGTGCCTAACAGGACAAGGGAAGGTGAAGGGGAGGAGGAGATTTGAGGAACCTAATCAAGTTCTGTATTAATCCAATCAAGTCGAATCCCTTCCCTGCAATGCCCTTTTAGTACACACTTTCTTTTGTAATGTAGCTACACTTTGTGGCCTACTTTTGATAAAGTATGTATTTTGTATGACTTTATTGTGTGCACCTCAATCTGGCAAGGTAGGGCCATCTCTAGAAATGGACTTTATCAACTGTATATCATCCCTGTTGTGCAGCTAGGACTGGGCCTCAGGGCTAAAGTCCAAGGCCCCACAATGGAAGAGGCGGACACTAATCACGCCAGAAGTGTGATAGGCACAGTGGTTCTCTGCAGCATGCTCTCTTTTTTCTTATTTTTTTTAAAAATACATTTAATAGTCAGGGGTGACCAGATGGGCATGCATATAGTTACAGATACCTATTTTATTATTTTTGATCATTTTCTACAACAAAATCAGACTTATATCCAAGTAAATGTGTTTAGCATTAGGGCATCAGAAGCAAACTCCATTTAATTCCTGAAGTCATCATGAATTTATGATTTATGTGAGTTTAAAATGCAAAACTGCACATGGTCTGAGTATTTTGTTATCATTGGATTTATCCGGTTTTGGTAGAGTGTTTTTTATCCCTTTGTTCTAACATGTAGAAACACTTTTAAAGTGTGGAAATGAAGTGTGGGGCAAGAAGAAATGTTAGTTTAAGTAACATTCTTGACCCTCTAAAGAATCCTCCACACCCATAGGAGTATAAAGCCCAGGATCTGAAAAGGTTCTGCTGTGTCCACTGCATCTCTCTATGTTAAGAGAGCTTTGGCTATGAGCTGTATAGAAATGAAGTAAATAAATAATATCAGATCCATCCTGCAAATAGATGCTAGACACCTCCCCACCCCCCACCCCCTCACCTGGAACTGCATGCATAATACACTTTTCTAGAAATGGGCTCAGCCACGTGCCACCAAGCAAACTGTGTAATTGTTAGGAAAAGCAGTGCTAATTAGATGCTTGGGAAGTCAGGTGTGGGGATTCATTCCAGATATTCCCTTTCTATTTCACCTGGAGGTTCATCAGTTCAATTTATCAGTTTACCTGTTACAATCAGGGACACACCAAGCTTAGGGTGTCAACTGGATGTTTCCTTCAGTCTCTGTTGCTACAGCACTCATAACCAATATTAAATCTTGAAATAACAAGCTCTTCTCAATGAGGAACTGACACAGAATTCTGTGATCTATGGACATCTCTGCCAAAAAAATTGCTTCATGTGGCAGGAATACTGAACTAATTGAATTCCATTTTGGAGAAGTTGTAGAGGGGCTGGAAGTAACAGAGATGAGAGCAAATTACCAAAAATACCAGCATATTTTAGTTTAAGGGCTTCTCCACATGAGGCATTTATTGTGCTCCCATGATTCTTCACTCACAGAAGTTTGTGGAGCCTTGTCATCCTCCTGAACCTCTCCTGTGTTTTCTAGCCTTTTATGGGGGCTCTTAGTAGAGGGGAAAATGCTGGTATTAAATTTTAATTTGCAACATACTGGAGCAACAGCCTCCAGTGAAGTTGCAAATCCACTATAGTGTGTAACAGTGCCAACTTGTGGTTACTTAACAGAATGTATAGACGGGCAGAGAAATCCAAAAGCCTAGGAAAACCCCCCCACTGGGGATGCATTTTTGCTTCCACACTGAAAAAAGCAGAAGTCTTTGTAAAATAGCTGATTACACTCTGCAAGTAGAGACACCCTGCATCTTTTCTTGCAAATAACTAAACCTTAGGAGGGCATCCCACCCTTTTAGAACACAAGAAACTGTTCAAAGCTGGGAAAGAAAGAAAGAAAGAAAGAAAGAAAGAAAGAAAGAAAGAAAGAAAGAAAGAGTGAGGAGGAATAGAGTGGCTGGGGCTGGTGGAAAGAGGCAATAACATTTCAAGAACACTGGGGCCCAAGGAAGGCTGAATTCAATCTCCCACCCTGAGTTATGGACAAAGGGCTTTGAGGGTTATCTATAAAGAAGAGTCTAGACTAGGAATGGGTAACTTCCAGATGTCACTGGACTACACCTCACATTGGCTATGCAGGCTACAGCTTGCTCAACCTGATCTATGGTCTAAGTATGCTTCCTAGGGAGTAAGTCCCACTGGACGCAGTAAATATGCTTCCCACAGCAATGTATGAAACATTTGTACATGTTTATAACCACATGGGCTAGAAGATTGTTTTTGTGTGTTTGCTTGCTTGCTATTCAAAATGAAGCTTCTTCAAGTTGGAAGAAGAGAATATGAACCAGAGTGAATAACCTAGCTTGGATAAATGAAAAACCATGACAGTCGTAGGGGTCTAGGGCCTTCTTCCATGATTAGCAGGGCTTTTTTTGTCATAGAATGCAGCAGAACGGCGTTCCAGCACCTTTTTTTGATGGATTTTTCCAAGTGATTGTGAATCGCCCTGTTGGGCGTAGCAGGTTGGCAGCAAAAATCATTAACATAGTGCCTGCGGGCTGCTTTTGTGTCGGCACTGATTGTGAGGGTGCTGCTCGGCTTGGGATGCTGCTCGGCTTGGGATCGGTTGTGTGGTCAGGCGCTGAGTGCTTACTGCCGGCGACGACCATTATGTTTATGTGTGTGTAGAATGACTGGCTACATGCAAAAGGTAAATAAGTTCTTTATTTCAAAAAAAGTTGGTGAATAAAAAATCTTTTTTAGTGTAAAAGTGTGACCCCAAGACATGAGTTCTGGCACTTTTTTTTGTTGTTGTTGCAAAAAAAGGACTGATGATTAGGTTTTGCATCATGAGTAGTATTGCAGGGTTGCCACATTGCCCAAGAACTCATTCTGTAAGTAGAGAAAAGTGTGCTTTTTTCCAGGACCTGGCTTACTTATGCAAGGCCCGCAGGCATCTATTCAGTGCCATGCATGCAGACACTTATTAGCTGCTCACAATAGGGGAGCCATGGGTTCTACGTTGTAGAGGACAGTTCTCT